GAAGCCTCGGGCTTGAGCACAGTATTCTCGCCTTTAAGGCGACTTTTCCCCCTGAAAAATTTAATGAAAAACAGGGGCAAAGAAAATAAATTTTATTTTCAGCCGCGGAAATGTTCGCCTGTCCAATAACGCCCGGGGTGAAAAATTTTAAAAAGGGAAAAAAGTTGCAGGAAAAAAAAAATGTAAATTGGGGTTAAAACGAAGGAATGCTCTTTTTTGGGTAAAACTGGGGGTGAAAAATTTTTAAACAAAAAGAGAGGAAAAAAACAAAAGGGTAATTTGTTAACCCAAAATTTTAAAACCCTTATTAAAAAAAACTTTTTTCATCCCAAAATCAAAAACCCCCACAAACAACAACACAATTGGTTAACCCCCCCACTATTCTTAAAAACCAAAAAACCATCCTATTGGTTAAACCCCTCCCCCTATCTCTTAAACACCTCCTTTGGTTTCAACCCCCTCCCCTCTTCTTTAAACCCCACCCAATTTTGGTTAAAAACCCCCCCCTCATCCTTAACCCATCCAATTTTTTTAAAACCCCCCTCCCTCTCTTTTAAAACCCATCCATTTTTGACACCCCCCTCTTCTCTTAACCACCTCCTTGGATTCCCCCCCCCCCCTTCTTCTCTTCACCATCCTATTGGTTAAAACCCCCCCCATCATCTTTAACAAACCATCCTATTGGATCAACCCCTCCCTTCTATCTTTTAAACAAACCTCCATATTGGATTCAAACCCCTCCCATCTACTCTTAACACCATCCATTTTGGTTTCAACCCCCCCCATCTACCTTTTAAACCAAACCAATTGATTAAACAACCCCCCCCTACTCAAAACCCCATCCTATTGGATTAAAAACCCCCTCCCTCTTCTCTTAAACCATCCATATAGGTTAAAAAACCCCCTCCCATCTTCCTTAAACCACCAAATTTGGATTCAACCCCCCACTATTTTAAAACCACCCCCAAATTTTGGGATTAAACCCCCCCTCATCCTTAAAAAAACCCTCCATTGGGGGATTAAAACCCCCCTCTATCTCAAAACACCACCCATATTGGATTAAAACCCCTCCCATCATCTTTTAACCCCACCTTTTGGGATTAAAAACCCCCCCATCTATCTCAAAAACACCACCTATTGGTTTAAAACCCCCCCATCCCCTTTTAAACCCACCTCCAATTGGATTAACCCCCCCATCATCTTTTAAAAAAAACCACCAATTGATTAAAACCCCTCCCTCTACCTTAAACCATCCTATTGGTTCAAACCCCCCTCCCACTATCTCTTAACACCGCCATATATTAAAAACCCCCCCCATTATCCTTAACCCACCTATTGGATTCAACCCCTCCCATCTATCCTTAAAAAACACCTTTAAGGGATAAAACCCCTCCCATCTATTCTTACACCACATATTGATTCACCCCCCCTCCCTCATCTCTTAACACCCACCAAATTTGGGATTCAACCCCTCCCTCAAATCTTTTAAAAAACCACCCATTTGGTTCACCCCCCCCATCTATCTTTTTAACACCACCCATATTGGATTCAACCCCCCCTCCCTCTATCTCTTAAAAAAAACCATCCTTTGGATTCAACCCCCCCACTTTCTTAACAAAAACCAAATCCTTTTTGGTTAAAACCCCTCCATCTATTTTTCCCCTTAACCCATCCAAATTGGATTAAAACCCCTCCCATCTTCTTTTAAAAACCACCATATTGGATTAAATTCAACCCCTCCCCCCATCTATCTCTTAAAAAAACCCATCCTATGGATTCAACCCCCCTTTCCACTACTCTTAAACCCACCATATTGGATTCAAACCCCCCCCATATCTCTTAACACCATCCATTTGGATTCAACCCCCCCCATCTATCTCAAAACACCATCCTATGGATAAACCCCCCCCTCTATTCAAAACACCATCCATATTGGTTCAACCCCCCCCCCATTATCCTTAAAAACCAAACCCAAATATTTGGTTCAACCCCTCCCATCTACTTTTACCCCACCCAAATTTTGGATTAAACCCTCCCTCTATCTCTTAAACCACCCATATTGGACCAACCCCCCCTCTACTCTTAACCCACCATTTTGGGGGGAAAACAACCCCTCCCTCACCCTTTTTCCCCTTAAGGTTAAAAATTCCCCACCATTTTGGAAATTCACCCCTCCCATCTTTTCCTTAACACCACCTATTGGATTCAACCCCCCCTCCCATCTTCTTTTAACAACCTTTTGGTTAAAAAACCCCCCCTTTATTTTAAACAAATTTTTCAACCCCTCCCATCTATCTCTTAAACCATCCATTGGATTCAACCCCTCCCCTACTCTTAAAACCCCCTCCAATTGGATTCAACCCCCCCCCTTCTAATCTCTTAACAAAAAAAAAACCCCCCCAAAACCATCCATATTTTAAACCCCTCCCTTCTTTTCCTTAACACCTCCTATTGGATCCCCCCCCCCATTTTCTTTAACACCACCATATTATTCAACCCCCCATTTCTCTTAAAACCCCACCCAAATTTTGGGATCAACCCCCCCCCATCTATCTTTAAAAACCATCCTATTGGATTCAACCCCCCCCATCATCTTTTAACACCTCCTATGGATTCCCACCCCTCACATCTATCTCTTAACCACCAATTGGATTCAACAACCCCCCCCCTCTATCTTTTAAACCCACCCATTTTGGGATTAAAAACCCCTCCCATCTTCTCTTAACACCTCCATTTGGATTCACCCCCCCTCCCATCTACTCTTAAAAAAAACCCCACCATATAATTCAAAATAAAAACCCCCCCTCTATCCTTAACAACCATCCATATTGGATTAAAAACCCCCCCCTTTCATCTCTTAAAAACACCATCCTATTGATTCAAAAAAACCCCCCCTCTATCTTTTAAAAAACCCACCCAATTGGTTTCA